TTCCTTTTCTGTCTAAAGACAGATCCTCCAAAAGGAACTCAATCGTTTTGAATCCCCTCCCTGGAAATCTCATCAACCAGGGAAGATTAAGGGAAGATTAAACCCATATTACAAGAGAGGAGACTGGAGGTTGACATCATGCCCAGATGACCTTTATCACAGGGTGTCACTTATTTTTCTGAGGTCTCATTTATCTTTCCCCAAAATCATTTATTCCTCCTAGTGGCCTACTTCCCCCCTCCCCTCTTCCCTATGAAGAGGGTCTATAAGCTTCCAGATCTTGCTGGGTTGGGCATTCACTTTTTGTTCATGTGATGTCCCCATGCATGTAAAAAAAAAAATGTGTATACCTGCTATCGTTTGGATGTGGTTTGTTTTCCCTACCAAATCTCATGTTGAAATTTGATTCCGAACGTTGGAGGCGGTGCCTAATGGGAAGTGTGTTGATTATGAGAACAGATTGTTTGTGAATAGATTAATGCCCTCCCTAGGGATGAATGCATTTTTGCTCTGTTAGTTCACCCCGTAACTGGTTTTTTTTAAAAAGAGCCTGCCCCCACCCCATCTCTCTTGCCTCCTGTCTCCCGATGTGATCTCTGCACATGCTAGCTCTCCTTCACCTTCTGCCATGAGTGAAAGCAGCCTGAGGTCCTCATCAAATGTCCAGTCCTAAACTTTTTCCAGACATCAGAATCATGAGCCAAATAACCTTTTCCTTTTTATAAATTACCCAGCCTCAGGTATTCCTTTATAGCAACATAAAATAGACTAAGATAATATATTATCTCCTATGAATCTGCCTGCTGTCAATTTATTTCACAGACTCAGTTACCAAACCATCTGAGGATGGAGGAAAGCCTTCCCTCTCCTACACATCCTGTTTAAGACAGCTGTCTTGCAAAATATATACTGTCATCTCTATTTTGCAGATGAGAAAACTGAGGCTCTGTAAGAGAAGCAAAAATCACTTGTCCTAAGTCACATAGCTTATAAGTGAATAAGGTGGGATTCAAACCAGGATCTAAGTCCAAAGTTCGTGTTCCTTCCAACTATCTGCTGATCGCTAAGTAGGTCAGAGTCACCTGATCTCTATGTCGATTATTTATTCTGTGGATTAACCAGAGCTAAGAGGTATTTAAAACCTGTTCCTGCCTAACTCCTTAGCATATTCCACTCAATTGGTGGGTGTTCAGTGGTTGTCAACATATTTTGAATCTTTATTATTTGGGGGTTGTCAACTAATATTGTTTTGTTTTATTTTATTTTATTTTTTAAGATGGAGTTTCGCTTTTGTCACCCAGGCTGGAGTGCAATGGCATAATCTCGGCTCACTGCAACCTCTGCCTCTCTGGTTCAAGCGATTCTCCTGCCTCAGCCTCCTAAGTAGCTGGGATTACAGGTGCCCGCCACCACATCCAGCTAGTTTTTGTATTTTTAGTGGAGATGGGGTTTCACCATGTTGGCCAGGCTGGTCTGGAACTCGTGACCTCAGGTGATCTGCCTGCCTCAGCCTCCCAAAGTGTTGGGATTACAGGCATGAGCCACCATGCCCAGCTATATTATTTTAATATTAGGCCCAGACAAACAAAAGTAGGAAGGGAAACTTGATGGGACAGACAGGTCAGTGAAATATTACAAACCAACTATATTTGAATTTCTTGATTATTTATTTTTCTGGATTATCCACAACTCCCATAGCAGTGCAAGTAAGAGGATAATTTCACAATTTTCATTTGGTTCCATTTCCTTTGTATCTTTTCCATAATGTATTATGCAGCTATTCACCCAGGAAGTGTTTCATAAGTGGTATGGACAGGCATCCCTTGGATCAGTTCCCTTTTTGGAATTCTAGGTAGTCTAAGTTACCATGAGTGACTTCATGTCTTATTCATTTGACAAACAATATTGGTGCCTACCATGTGGTAGGTGCCATGCTAGGTATTAGAAATATCAAAATAAAACAGTATTGGTGTCTACTATGTGGTAGGTGCTATACTAGGGATTAGAAATATCAAAATAGAAAGGACACAATTCTTACCATCAAGGAGCTCATAGTTTAGTGGTAAGAAATCCATGTAAAACATTCAAAATGCAGTGTGGTAAGTGATATCATCGAGGTATGCTTAGGGTGTAATGAAAGCATAAAGGAAGTCTGGTTAGAGTGAGTTGTGGGGCCATACCAGAGAGAACATGTGAATTGATTCTTGAAGAATTTATCAGGTTTCCAAGGTAGGGGCAATCTTGACAAAGAAACTAGCTTGTTCAAAGGCATGGTGGTGTGAGAAGTGTCAGCAAATTTAGTAGTGTGCAAGCATGACTTCCTTGTAAAATGGTGGAAGATAATGTTGGAGAGACAGATTAGAGGTCATGTTAAGGAGCTTGTATCTTGTCTCCTGTAGTACATGGGATCAGACAGGTAAGGTGAATGAGTGACGAGGACAGTATTGAAGGATAGAAGAAAGAGGTGGTGATGGCTGTAGAACTTGATTGTTCATGCTTGTTTCAAGGAGGCAGTGCTAGCTGAATGTAGCCACATGGGAATGTGAATCCAGAGTTATCAGGTCTTCTGGTTTTTTAACAGAAAAGCGGGAAATCTGGATTTTTTAAAATGTGAAATCTCCAGAGTTCCAATAGCTGACAATTGCTTTTTTTTTTTTTTTTTTTTTAAATTCAAAGGTTTAGTCAATACTGCACCAAACACTACACTGGATGTGGTCTGCAGACTGTCATTGAGACCTGTCCTTTAGGGGACAGGATATGTATGGAAGCATAGAAGCTAACTGAAGCAACACTTTAAAACACTTAAAAAATAACCACATACATTCCTCTCTGGATTGCCCCATTCCAACATTTCTACTGCATATGATGACACATGTTTTTTCTCTGGGGAAGCAAAGAGACGTCCCAGGTCAAATGCAACCCTCAGGGCTTCTGAGGGCAATGGTGTAATCCAGAGTCTCAGTCAAGCCTGGTAGAACATGGTAAGGTGAGACCAGTGTGGCCCCTGAACATCACCGTCACCACCAGGAGATGGCTGTCATTTGTTTCCTTTTCATTTTAGAGGAAGAAAGGGCAGCCTGTTTAAACTGTGTATGCAAGAAAGTCAACACAGCCAGTGACAACACAGATAAAACACAGTGTAAAGGCTATTAAAGTTCAAACTCTTCATTTTACTGCCAGAGAAACGAAGGCCCTGGAAAAGCACAGTGACTTGCTCAGAGTGACCCAGCAACCTAGTGGCAGGATGAAGTCTCCTGACTCCTGGTCTAGCATTCTTTCCAATAATCCCGGGCTGTGATAATTAAAGTAAATCAGCCTGGCAGTTTTCCTAGCATCTAGAATTCCTGGACTGGACAAGCAGGACTTGAGAGCAGCTGTTAGACACCTTTTTTCCCCTTAGCTCTAGCATGATGATATTCTTTGTGAACTTTATATTTCATGGGTAGGGGTTAAAGAGAGGACACGAAGATGTTTTTGAAGCACTGAGACCATTCACAAAGTGTATAGAGAAAAGTTGTCTGTGGCTAATATATTTAAGGCTTATGACCTCTGTGCTCTCTGGACTGACCTGCCAGCAGATGCTTTTGGTTTTGTGTTTTATTTCTCTTCTTTTGTCTTCTTTTCTATCTCTATCTATGTTTTTCTTCTCTTCTACCAGCCTAGGTCTTAGGCCTACACATAAGTGCTCCTGGCATTGCTGAGCCTCCATGATGACACTCAAGATGTCCGCTGCAAGTCAATGAAATTGTTAATTATTCATTACTCAATTAATAACATGGAATGAGAGTGCGTAGTGACTATGAAGTGTACATGCTTCCCCTGCTGTAGTCATTTCACTTTCTATAATCTCAGACTAGTAACTCTTGTCAATTGTGACTCTTGATTTAACTAATCCTTTCCATCCTTCATTTCAGGGTCTATTGTTCTGCCATTTGCCACTTTTTTTTTTCTTTCTCTGAACCCGTTTCTGATTGGTGCAGCTGTCGAAGATGCTGTAGTTGCAGCAGTGTACATCTGGAACATTTGGCTGACTTGTTGAACTTCCCCCAGGGAGTACTCCAGGAGAAGGATGGGAGGGGTGGAGAGGCCAGAACAGTTGCCTGTAAATAAAGATGCCAGTAGTGTCTGACCATTCTGTGGACCACCCTTGTAAAAATCCACTTCATTCTGGCCCTCGGTTTCCCTATCTACTCACGGAAGGCGTATGTTCTCCAATCAAAACTGCTGCAGTGGAAGAAATCTATTCTGGCTGTGGATGCTCTCATACAGCATTTTCTGCATTGTATCAATAGATATTTGTTGAATTAATTAATATATCAAGAAATCCTAGGATACTGTTTTACCCTTCATGGGACAACATCATTTCAGTTCCGCTTGGCATGGGTCGGCTTCTCTGTTACTTCGATTGAGCCTTCAGAGTCACTCCAGGAGTGAGGCTGCTTGAGTCCCACCCATTCCCATAGTTCCCAGGCTCCTGGGTCTCCTTTTCTTCGGGCGAGCCATTGAATTGCAAACACAGCAGGCATGGTTTCATTCCAAACCTCGAGCTGTTTTAATTAGTTTAACGTCTGTTAAACGCTTTGAAGATTGGAAGCAACAGATAAGTACTGGATGATGTTATTAACAACTGCAGTTAATTGCAAACATTTCTATTAATGCTAGTTTCTGCCTCCTTTTCTTTGCTCTACTTTCTTTCCAAGGTTCCCAAATTCGTAGCCTCCCCCTCTTTTCCTCCCCATACTGGCGATATAGGGTTAAACTGGGGCGGAGCCCAGGGATGAACGACAGCGCCAGTCACCAACTGGGACGGGGCAAGCGGGAAGAGCTGGGTGGGGCGGCCAGACAGAGGCGAACCCTCACGCCCCCAGGCCCCGCCCCGCGGCTGGAGGCCCGGTTGGAACGGCACGGGGCGGGGCGCCGAGGCTTGGCGGCCCCGTGGTTGGGCGTCCCGGCAGCCGCTTGAGGGATGGGGCGGGGTCGGCCGGGACCTCCTCCTTCATTCCCTCGGCGGGCCGAGCCTCCCCTCTCTCCCGCCCCTCCTCCTCCCTTTCCCACCCCTCGGAGTGGAGCTGCACATGCGGCTGCTCCCTGCTCCGTCCCGCCCAGCCACCGTCGCGCAGGAACGGGTCCCTGCAGCCCCCAGCCGATGGCAGGACAGTAGCCGCCTGTCAGAGGTCGTGAACGGCTGAGGCAGACGCAGCGGCTCCCGGGCCTCAAGAGAGTGGGTGTCTCCGGAGGCCATGGGCTACCCGGAGGTGGAGCGCAGGGAACTCCTGCCTGCGGCAGCGCCACGGGAGCGAGGGAGCCAGGGCTGCGGGTGTCGCGGGGCCCCTGCCCGGGCGGGCGAAGGGAACAGTTGCCTGCTCTTCCTGGGTTTCTTTGGCCTTTCGCTGGCCCTCCACCTGCTGACGTTGTGCTGCTACCTAGAGTTGCGCTCGGAGTTGCGGCGGGAACGGGGAGCCGAGTCCCGCCTTGGCGGCTCGGGCACCCCTGGCACCTCTGGCACCCTAAGCAGCCTCGGTGGCCTCGACCCTGACAGCCCCATCACTACTCACCTTGGGCAGCCGTCACCTCAGCAGCAGCCGTTGGAACCGGGAGAAGCTGCACTCCCCTCTGACTCCCAGGACGGGCACCAGGTGAGTCACCTAGTAGGGGCGGCGGCGGCCCCCTCCCCTCGCGGGTAGGGCGAGGGCCCTCCGCCACAGGGGCCTGGGGGCACTCTGCCACCTCGAGCCAATTTAGAGGGCAGGACCAGGGAGGGACCAGGCGAGCAGGGGAGAGGTTGCCCAGGGCAGGTTGTCTTCGGTCCCTGGCCCAATCTGGACTCCCTGGGGACCCCTTGACTTGGAAAGTCTAGCGCGCGCCCGCGGCCCCTGGCTGCGGGCTGCCTGGAGAAAAGTTGGCGAAGCTCCCGTCGAGGAGGTGCCTGCGCTGCCCCCCGGCCGACTAACGGCTTGGCCCTTCTGCTCGTGATGAGGTTCTCTGCCCGCGGTGCTTGTTTTTTCGTGTCTAGAGCTGATGCCAGAACCAGCAGGCTCCCCTTTGGAGTTGGAGCTGTAAACAGCTGTAATAACTGCTCCACGCCCGCCTGTTGAAACAACTTTTAACCGCATTTTCAGCGCGGGTCCTTGTGCGCTGACCAGAACGTGGGCTTGTTCACACTTACCTGCAATTTGAGACTGATTGTCCTCGGCGTTCTAGTGAGGATCAGCGCCCCTGAGGAATTCTGGTAGAAATATGCCGTCTTGCTAGACAACTTCTGAACAGCAATTTTAAAAATCTATGGAAATAAAACTCACCCTTTGCATGCCGGTTCTGATTCTTAAGCGGGGTAGGTGTGCGGTGGAAAGGGTGGGTGGGAAGCGCTTTTGCTACTGCTAGCTTGAGAACAGGAATCTGCCAATGGAATAATTACTCAGGACTAGTCCCCCAAGAGCAGTTTTGTTTTGTTTGTTTTTGCAGCCTTTATGGTGTTTGTGCCCTTATTAGCAAACTATTAGCTTTGGCGTTTGTTTTCCACTCTTTCTAGCTCTTTATTCAAGTAAATTTAGTTCACTTAATGTAAATATTGTCTTCGTTGCCATATGTGAAACTTAGGAGAAGCATCCAAGGATCCTTTTGAGGTGGCTAAAGAATAATAGTAAAATTGTACCTCTTAGGGAAGAGAGCAAGTTGTACAAATAAGTTCCTTGAGGTGAGGGACCCAAGCCTTCTATATTTACTTCCACATCCAGAGTCATTGTCACAACTCTGTAAACATTATTTGTGCCACTTTGACCTCCCATCTAAAGTGGTACACTTGATAGAGACATCACATTCATGATCATAGTGTAATGTTAGGACTGATACTTAAAAAAAAAAAACAACAACAACAACAAAAAAGATGTCCATTGTAAAGTTGCCTTGAGCCTTAAAATGTCTTACTAGCACACTCCAATTTATATAACAGCTTATCAAAGAAGAGAATCAGCAGACATGCTTCTCATACTTGAAACTTTAAACATTGTAGCTAAACGATAATTAACTAGGATTCTGACTCCTTTTATTTATCTACTGCCACTCCCCCCACACCCCAATGCCCAGTAGAAATATTTAGCAGCTGAACATTGATATTCTGTGAAAAGATGAAAAAATTAAATTTCTTTAGTCAAATGTTGGCCAAGACTTTTTGGCATTCAGGATGGACAGAGCCGCTTTTATAGACTGGGGATTAGCAAAACAGCTGTACTCTAGGGCTTCTGTGATGGCATGAAACTCTTACAGGTGTGTAATGGCATTTAGTTACCTGCCCTTTGTGTGGCACTAAAATAGTTCTCTCTAGGTTTAAACACAGCTTCCTACCTTCTGTCCTTTATTCTTTCTGGTTTAATATTTTTGAGCAATAGAAGCAAGGATACTAGCTCTTTACATTTGTTGACATCAGTTGGAATCAGTTTCCTAGAGTTATGAAGGGCTTATATGAGTCCATTTTGTTTGATTCCCTTGGGAAACATAGGCCCTAATGGGAAAGTGACTTGCCCAAGGTCACATAACTAGAGTCAAAACTGGGATGATAGTTGCTCTTTTAACTCCTAGTTCAGTGCCCATTCCCTCAACTACCTCCTGGGACCTTTTGCGAGGGAGCAAGATGGAGCTCCATATTAGAACTTTTGCAAAGTAGAGCGCTCAGATCTGCATCATTTTGTTCTACTCTACCTGTATTTTGACCACAGTAAATTTAACCATGTATTCCTTATTCTTCCTGAACTTCACTTTCAGATTTGGAGTATACTTTGAAGGAATATTAGCCCAAATTCAACTTAAGTTTATTTTAAGTTATTCAACTTGTGTATCTTATCTTGTATATTAGTTTTAGTATACAAAAATAAGTTTTTAAAAAGTTGATTGGGTATTAAATTAATACTGCTACAAGCTTGGGTAAAATTTCTAGTGCCCTGGTGCACCCTCTGCTGGCTTTACAGGGACATTTAATTTTCAGTATCTGCTGACACTCAGAATTCTACATTGTGCTGACAGATTCTGATTCGGTAAATAAGGAAGTAAACAGCCTTGTGGGATTTGGCCACGTAGGTCATATTTTTATATTTTAGTTTTTCAACACAAACAACTGCTGTTACAGCAAATCTTGGATGGAGAGGAAGAAAGATAAAAATATACACCCTTCAACGGGCAATACATTCAGGTTTCTTACTAGTTTATCTGCAAGGAGTGAAGGCAAGCTGATGACAGTAAACTGCAGGAAGCTTTCATGAGACCAAGTGGGCAGAACAGTCAGAGACACTTCATGCAGGTAGGCAAAAGTAAACCTATTCATACTTATGAGATGATGGGCTCTGGGCTCTCAGTTATGACTCAAGAAAGGGACCTGGAAATCACTGTAGATGTGTGCATATCATCTCTCAATTTAAAAACTTTTTAAGCAGGGCACACAAGGAAGTTAGGGCAGGTAGGATACAGAGCAGAGAGATTAGCACAGTTCTCCATGTGAAATGTTAGAAAAGTCTCCCCAGTAGGGACACACTTGCTGATGATAAAGTGATAGAGTCACATCAGACCTTCTGTAATCAATCATCTCCTTCAGCTGGAGCAGCCAAGTAGCTGAGATTTGTCTGGATAGTTGGTGGAGATTATCTCAAGAGCAAGGGATATCTCATTTGTGTCTGAATTAGGACAATATACAGTAATATGATTGTCAGCGTAACAAACTAAAAATCACTGTTGATCATTCTGTGGAGATGTTGCTCCAGTTGTGATTGTGGTCCTCAAAGGCCAAGAATGTAGTGGGTATCATCAGGAAGGGTGTCACAAACAACACCACACTTACAAAACACTTATTTTTTCCATGTACAAGATCAAAAGCAGATTTGCTTCTACAATCAGACAGGAAATTCTGGTGACTGGTCCTCAAGAAAAGCCTAACAGCTGATAAAAGTCCTCAGAAACCCCATTAAATTGATCAAAAGGATGAAGGGATTTTCTAGTTTTTTTCTCAGTCTGGATAGAAAGAGGCTGAAGGAGGAATATGATCAAAGTCTACCAAACCATGAGCGAGATGAATATGGTTAATATATTCGTGTAACTTAACAATCCAGTTCAATAAATAGAAAGCCTGCTTTGCCAGACACAATGTTAAGTATTAGATACTTTTTAATGTTTGAAAAATTATTTTCAAGAGGAGGCAAATAAAGGTAGTATCTTATTCAACTCATTGTCTCAAGTAATAGTCAAAATTATGGGTAGATCAATACGGATTTACTTAAAACTGTAGGGCTATTTGGAGTATGTTCCTAATTATTTGAGGTGATGTCATAGATGTCAACCTTTAAAGTTCTACAAAACGTTGCTTGACATAACTAGATAGACCATTAGTGTATCCAGAGTTGACATTACCTGTGTTAAGGCTTTTTGATCAAGAACATAACTAGGAATCATTTGAGGTGATTCAAGGTGAGCACAATGAATAAATCCAAGGATTTTTTTTTTTTTTTAATGGAGGTGGGATCTAGATAAAATACATTTACTGTGGGTTTAAATACAGAACTTTTGATCAACTTGCTTCATTATTCCCATCCCATTTTCTCTCTCACTAACTCTGCTGCAACCCAGCCACCATATCCTGCTTAGAATCATTCTTTAGTTGTTATTGCTGTTGTTGTTTTTAAATACATTTTATGTCTTTACGTTAGAGCTCCTTAGAAATCTGCCTTCATTTTTGTCTTTCTCCATAATGCCTGACACAGTGCTAGTTACAATTACTGTACTCAAATACTTGTTGAGTTGAATATTATTTTGGGACTATGGACGTGTTTATGTAAAACAAAGACATTTTCTCTTTCTGTAACAGGCCTGTTTTCCTCAGGTCTTGCTAAGCCTGTGACCTGTCAGCTATGCTTAGGTGAGTAAATAGTTCCACTGGCAATGTTTCACTGATTTCTAGAATAATTAGAAAGTGAAATGGAGAAGGGCCTTAACCATGTGGTCAGTCTCCCAGTTTCACATCTTCTCTCTAAGATGGTACAAAAAGCTTCCTGTAATATATTGTTTGATGTTTTGTTTTATTTGCTTTTAGGTCTCATATCTTACCTCTGAAGCCATTTAATTCCCAAGAACATTACCAAGAGAAACGACCTTGCCTGTAAAGGACCATTTTATCTGACTCCTCTGTAAATACTCAGGACTTAGCTTTTCATTTCATTTCTTTCTTTTATTAAAAACCTTTTCTATTGAAGTATAACTCATACACAGAAAAGTATATAAATCATATTTGTACAATTTTATGAATCATTACAAAGTGAATATACTCATGTCACCAACACCCAGGTCAAGAAATAGAACATTATTATATTCCACAACTCCTACTTATATCCTATTGTTATCAGTATATCCTCCTCACTCTCTCAAGTTCTAACACCATAGATTAGTTTTTTTATGTTTCTCCACAGTGCCTGACATAGTGCTAGTTGGATTAGTTCATTAGTTTTGTTCATTTTGAACTTCATATAAATGAAATAAAACAGTGTGTATTCTTTTGGATCTGGAGTTTTTTGCTCAATACTGTTTTTGTGACATCCGTTCAGGTTGCTGCATGTGGCTGTAGGTTTTTATTTGTATTTTTTTTGTGTGTGAGACAGGGTCT